GGGCACATGCCTGGGTTGCAGGCCCGGTCCCCAGAGGAGGACACATGAGAGGCAACCACACACTGATGTTTCTCTTCTACTCTTTCTCCTTCCCTTCCCCTCTCTCTAAAAATAAATAAATAAAATATAAAAAAATAAAAAGGAGTGTGGATGTTCCTTAAAAAATTAAAAATGTAATTACTATATGACCCAGCAAATCCACTTCCGGGTATTTATCTGAAGAAATCCAAAACATTACTTTGAAAAGATATGTGCACCCCAATGTTTATTGCAGCATTATTTACAATAGCCAAGTTATGGAAGTGGCCTAAGTATCCATCAATAGGTGAATAAAGAGAATGCCATGCATATATACAATGGAATATTACTCAGTCATAAAAATGGATGAAATCATGCCATTTGCAAAAACATGGATGGATCTAGTGGGTATTATGCTAAATGAAATAAATCAGAGAGAAAGACAAATATCGTATGATTTCACTTATGTGTGAAATCTAAAAATAAATGAATAAAACAGAAACAAACTCATAGATACACAGAAAACATTGATGGTTGCCAGATGAGGGGGGTGTTGGGAGGATGGGTGAAAACTGATGGTTGCCAGATGGGGGGATGGGATTAAGGAGGAACAAATAGGAAGGACACAGGGACGAGAACTAAGGGGGGGGTGGAAATGGGAGGGAGGTGGGGAGCAAGGGGCGGGGGAGGCTGGGATGGGAAAAATAGACAAAAAACTGTACTTGAAAAAAATAACTAAATAAAATTAAAATTAAAAAAAAAGAATCAATAAAAAAAAAAAAAGAAGTACAAGAAGTACAAATTCCCAGTTATATAAAAATAGTTCAGGGATGTAAAGTTCAGCATAAGAAATAGAGTCAATAATGTTGTAGTCAGTATGTACATTGTCAGATGGGTGCCAGACTTATGGTGATCACTTTGTAAGATATATAAATGTCTAATAACTGTGTTGTATATCTGAAACTAATATAATATTGTATGTCAAGTGTAACTGAAAAATAAATTTAAAAATAAATCTTGACCATCTTATATCATTCACAAATATTAATTCAAAATGTATCATAGATATAAATATAAGAAGTACAATATTTCTAGGAGAGACAGGAAAAAGTCTGTGCACCTTGGTATATGCAAAGATTTATTAGATGGGACAAAGGAGTACAAAATATAAAAGAAAACTGATAAAATGAGCTTTATCAAGAATTTCAAACTTCTACTCTTTTTTTTAATATTAAATTTTATTTAGTTACTTTTCAAGTACATTTTTTTTATCTATTTCTCCCATCCCACCCCACCCCCCCCGCCCGGTCTCCCACCCCCTATTCCGCCCCCCAGTCCTCATCTCTGCATCCCTCATACTTGTTCCTCAAAATCCTTCCCCCTTTTTCCCCTTAAGTTCCCTAAAAACACTATTAAGAAAGTAAAAAGGCCATGAAGAGGCTTTTTATTTTGATGAAGTCCTGTTTCTTTATTCTTTCCTTTATGTTCCTTACTCTAGGGAACATATTGGTGAAAACACTGCTGTGTGGAATATCTGAGATTTTCCTGCCTATGTTCTCCTCTAGTACTTTGATGGTATCATGACTTATATAAATTTTTATTCATCTTAAGTTTATTTTTGTGTATGGTATAAGTTGGTGGTTGAGTTTCAGTTTTTTGAATGTAGCTGTCTAGATCTCCCAACACCATTTGTTGAAGAGGTTATTATTACTCCGTTTTATGCTTCTTCCCCCTTTGTCAAATATTAATTGATCATAGAGACTTGGGTTTATTTATGGGCTCTCTATTCTGTTCCATTGGTTTATGTGTCTGTTCTTATGCCAGTACCAGACTGTTTTGACTACAATGGCCTTGTACTATAGTTTGATATCAGGTATTGTGATCTCTCCTACTTTGTTCTTCTTTCTCAAAATTGCTGTAGCTATTTGGGGCCATTTATAGTTCTATATAAATTTTTGAAGTGTTTTTTCTGTATCTGTGAAATATGTCATTGATATTTTAATAGGGATTGTACTGAATCTATAAATTACTTTGGGTAGCATGGACATTTTGATGATGTAATTCTTCCAACCCAAGAACATGGTATCTGCTTCCATTTACTTGTGTCTTCCTTGATTTCTTTCTTCAGTGTTGTGTAGTTTTCTGAGTATAGGTCTTTTACCTCCTTGATTAGGTTTATTCCTAGGTACTTTATTTTCCTTGTTGCTATATCAAATGGGATTTGTTTTCTGACTTCTGTTTCTAATGTTTCATTGTTCTGATGTTTCTGATGTTACATTCAGAACACAAATGCCTTTGATTTCTGAATATTGACTTTGTTTGCCACTGCTTTGCCAAATTCACATATTAGGTTGAGGATTTTTTTTTGGTAGAATGTATAGGGTTTTCTATATACACTATATCATCTGCAAACAGCAACAATTTTGCTTTCTCCTTTCCAATTTGGATGCCTTTTATTTTTTTCTTGTCTGATTGCTGTGGCTAGGACTTCCAATACTATGTTGAATAGAAGTGGTAAAAGTAGACAACCTTGCCTTGTTCCTGATTTTAGTGTGAAAGCTTTTAGTTTGAACAACAATTAAAAAACATAATAAAAAGAAATCATTTATTAAAAGTCAAAAAAGAACAACAAAAAGAAAAGAAAAAGGCAAGTCAATAACTAGAAGAAAACATTTAAAAATACACATATCTGACAAAGGAACATCTAGACTAATAAAAAAATTCTCACAACTTAATAAAAAGAACCCTAATAAAAATATAGGCTATGATGTGGATATTTCACAAAAGAAGATATATTAGTGACCATACATGTGATCACAGAATGTTGAAAACTGCATAACATCATTAGTCATTAGAGCTATAGCATTAGAAATACACAGGTCGTTTTAGCCACCTAGGGACCGTGAGGCACACCAGACCCTTCTTCTACTTGGGCCCTTCCACAAGACTCTGAGACTTGTAGGCATGTCCTTCCCTACATATCCCAGTCTTCATGGGCACCTTGGGTTTCTATTAACCTGTGAGGAATAACTTGGTTTTGAATTGATTTGAATATGAAATATGAGATCTGTCCAAAGGTATCCAGCCATGTAATATGAAAAACAGAGACATTTATTAAAGATACAAGATATAAGAAACATTACACACTGGACAGTGATGCCTCACTCCCCTTCAAAGTAGATACCTTGGGACCTCCTACAGTTCTCCCAATTGCTATCAGCTGCTGTGTTGTATTTTCCTGAATCTTAATGACAGTTTGAAATCTCTTCCCCTTCAAAAGTGATTTTAGTTTTGGGAAAAGACAGAAGTCTCAGGGAGCCAAATCTGGGCTGTAGGGGGGCTGAGTCACCTGGGTGATTTCATATTTCACCAAAAAACTCTGCACAAGATGTGATGCATGAGCCAGTATATTGTTGTGATGAGGCTGTCAGTCACCAGTTAGTTGCCCATAGCTGCAGTCTTCTAAATCATCTGAATAGTTTCCATGGAGGAATGTTCAAACTTAACACAAAATATGAGGCAGATTTGTTGCTCTACTCACTCAGTCATTTTGAATGTGATAACACCATAGTATATGTGCTCACTCAACAGCATCTATTGCTCCTACTGACTAGTACAGTGAAGTTGTCATTGTTCATGCATGCACATTTCAATCCACTCTCCTTGGCTGCTGGGTTACAATGATATTACTCAAACCACTCTTCTTATATTAACAATGGCTGGTCTTTTTCCAGATAGACTAATAAATACACACACGTAGCAGCAACAAGTACATACATATGCTTTTCAAGCTTGTTTGGATTATTATCAAATATTGTGTATCCTGCTACCAATCAAGTCTTTATAGATACCAAAGAATTAGTATGTTATTTTATTTGATCATAATATACAACAAAATTAAAATTAAAAACAATAATAAGCTCAAGTCTCTTGTACATGAAAAAAAGTTTAAATAACTTTAGGGATCAAAAGTAAGTCATAATTGAATTAGGTGATATTTAAAACTTAATGGCAATAACAGCATTACCTCAAAACTTGTAGGATACAGCCAAAAATATTTAGAGAAAAATTTCCAGTCTTAAATGTATATAAAAGAAGAAATATTTTAAATCATGAAATGCAGTCAATTTATTCTAAAATTCATTTGAGAGTTTAATAAGGGCAAAGTATAGTCAAAATAATTTGGGAGGAACATGAATCCTACTACATATCAAAACTTAATGAAACTATAGAAGCTCCAAAAGTATACTGTTTGCAAGGAGAGAGATAAATTGACCAAAGGAGTAGAGTATATAGAAACTTATTTTTATGATAAAACAGACTTATAATTCAGTGAAGAAAGGATGACATACATCCAAAGAAATATAAAATTGTATCTTTATTTTAAACTATATACAAAATCAATCTCACATAAATTAAAGATCTAAAAGTAGAGGGGGAAATATCACATACTTTTAAAGAAAATATCTTTCTGGTCTTGGAATAGTAAAAAACTTCATAAAGAAAACAAAAAGCATAAACCATATGATAAAAGGCTGACTAATTCCAGCAGCACAAGAATTTAAAAGTTCTGATATATTAAGCAAGCACAGTGAAAAGACAAGTGACAGATAAGAATATAACTGTTAATATCATTAAAGGACTATTATGAAGAATAGATAGGTAATTCATTTAAATCCATATGAAAAATATAAACAAAAAGATAGAAAAATAGGAGAGGTTAAGAAAATTCATTCCAGAGAAGTTCCAGCCAAGACAGAGGTATAGGTAGATATGCTTCACCTCATCACACAACTGAAAGAAAGAAACAACCAATTTAAAAACAAAAAACAACATGAACTACCAGAAAATCAAACTGTATGGAAGCCCAACAACCAAGGAGTTAAAGAAGAAACATTCATCCACACTGGTATGCTGAGACAAAGGATTACAGCTCAAATGAAAGAACAGATCAAAACTACAGAAAAATAACTAAACAACAAGTGCTCACTTTGGCAACACAAATATTAAATTTGGAATGATACAGGGCAGATTAGTCATAGCCCCTGAGCAAGGATGACATGTAAACTAGTGAAGCATTCCTTATTTTTATGGAACAGAATAGAGCCCAGAAATAAACCCATGTCTCAATGGTCAATTAATATTCAACAAAAGAGGCAGAAAAATAAAATGGAGTAAAAAGAGCCTCTTCAACAAGTGGTGTTGGGAGATCTGGACAGCTATACGCAAAAAAAAAAAAAAAAAAAAAAATGAAACTCAACCACAAACTTACATCATACACAAAAATAAACTCAAGACAGATAAAAGATGTAAATATAATCACAATACTACAGAAGTCCTACAGGAGAACATAGGCAGGAAAATATCAGATATTCCACGCAGCAATAATTTCACTGATATATCCCCTACAGCAAGAGTCATAAAGGAAAGAATAAACAAGTGGGACTTCATCAAATTAAAAAGCTTCTGTAGAGCTAAAGAAAACATCAGCAAAATGAAAAAGTAACCAACCATATGGGAAAATATATTTGCCTGTGATACCTCAGACAAGGATTTGATCTCCAAAATACATAAAGAACACACACCTCCACACCAGGAATGCAAACAATCCAATTAAAATATGGGCAAAGGACCTGTCCAAGGAGGACATACAGAGGACCCAGAGACATATGAAAAGATGCTCAGCATCACTAGCCACTGGAGAGATGTAAATTAAAACCACAATGGGATATCACTTCATACCAGTCAGAATGGCCATCATAAACAAATCAACAAACAATAAGTGCTGGAGAAGTTGTGGAGAAAAGGAAATCCTAGTACATTGTTGGTGGGAATGCAGACTGGTGCAGTATGGTGCACTGGTCCACTGTGACTAACAGTATGGAATTTCCTCAAAAAAGTAAAAATGGAATTGCTTTGGGACAGGGGTGTGTGCTGGGGAAAAATGGAGGCAACTCTACTTGAACAATAATAAAAATAAAAAATAAACAAATAAATAAATAAATAAAAATGGAACTGCCTTTTGATTTAGTGATTCCATTGCTTGGATTATATTTTAACAATCCTGAATCATCAAATCAAAAGAATCTATGCACCCCAATGTTCATAGCAGTATAATTTACAATAGCCACATGCTGGAAGCAGCCTAAGTGCCCATCAGTAAAAAGTAGATCAAAAGATCATGGTGCATTTACAAAATATAATACTGTGCAGCAGATCCAAAGGAGGAGTTACTATGCTTCGCAACAACATGGATGGAACTGGAGAGCATTATGCTAAGCGAAATAAGCCAAGTGGTGAAAGACAAATATCATATGATCACACCTATAAGTGGAACCTAATCAACAAAACAAACAAGCATGCAAAATATAACCACAGACACTGAAATTAAGAACAAACTGAAGTAACCAGAAGGGAGGAGGGAGGGGAGAGGAAGGAGATAATAGGGGAGAGATGATAATAGGGGAGAGAAGGGAATGGGTCATCAAGGAACATATATAAAGGACACATGGACAAAGACAATAGGGGGGAAGTAGAATTGAGTGTGGGAGGTGGGGGTGTGTAGGGCAGGGAGAGTAATGGAAAGAAATGGGGACAAGCTTAATTGAACAACAATTAAAAAGGAAAATAACTAAGTGACAAGGAGATGGCCAACTTATCAGATGCAGAATTTTAAACATTGGTAAAGAGGATGCTCATAGAAATGACTGAGTATAGTAGCAAAGTAAAGGAAGAAGTGAAGGCTATACAAAGTGAAATAAAGCAAAATACACAGGAACCAACAGTGAAGGGAAGGAAATGGATTAAATCAATGATTTGGAACAAAATAAAGAAATAAACATTCAACCAGAAGAGAATGAAGAAACAAGAATTCAAAAAAATGAGGAGAGGCTTAGGAACCTCTGGGACAACTTTAAATATCTCAACATCCGAATCACTGGGGTGCCAGAAGGACATAAGGATGAGCAAGGCATTGGAAACTTATTTTAAAAAACAATGAAAGAAAACTTTCCCAATCTGGTGAAGGAAATGGACATACATGCCCAGCAACCCCCAAAAAGTTGGACCATAAGAGGAACATGCCAAGACAGATCATAATTACATTGCCCAAGATTAAATATAAAGAGAAAATCTTAAAAGCAGCAAGAGAAAAGAAACAGTTGCCTACAATGGAGTTTTCATAAGACTATCAGCTGATTTCTCAAAAGAAATCTTGCAGGCAAGAAGGGGCTGGAAAGAAGTATTCAAAAGTCATGAAAAACAAGGACCTACATCCAAGATAACTCTATCCAGCATAGCTATCATTTAGAATGAAGAATCAGTAAATTGCTCCTCAGATAAGGTCAAGTTAAAAGAGATCATCATCACTAGACACCATATAATATGAAATGTTAAAAGGACTTATCTAAGAAAAAGATCAGATCTATGAACAGTAAAATGACAACAAACAACTATCAACAACTGAACCTAACAGAACAAAAACAAACTAGGCAAACAAGTAAAACAGGGATAGAATCACAGAAATGGAGGTCATGTGGAGGATTATCAGTGGGAAGCGGAGAAAAGGTACAGGGAATAAGAAGCATAATTTGTAGATACAAAATATACAGAGGGATGTTAAGAATAGTACAGGAAATGGAAAAGCCAAACAACTTATATGTATGACCCATGGATGTGAACTAAGTGGGGGGGGCAATGCTGGAGGAAAGGGGTGTACTGGGAAAACGGGGAAAAGGGAGAAAAAAGAATGGGACAATGGTAATAGCATAATCAATAAAATATATTAAAATTTAAAATAATAAAATTATTCACAAATTAATTAATTAATTAAGTGTGTGTTTATGTATTTAATTTATGGAAAGCCAAACAAAACTCCTGAATATGATACAGATGCACTAAAGGCACATTTTCCCAAACTTACCTGCTCCACCTCTCTATTGAGGGCATCTACCTTTTCTTTTAATCTGTTACCCTCTGCCTCAGCAGTGATAAGTTCTAATTTAAGGGTATTGTTATCTGTCTCTGCTTGCCGGGCCTTATTTTCCCAGTTTTCAGCATCTTCATTAGCTTTTCGGAGTTGGTCCATCATTTGCCGGTTCTCAGATTCCTGAAAAGCAAATCTTAGGTATTACTTTAAAAGATGTAAAGTGTTTGACATATATTAAACATTATCTGCCAAGTCTTTGGGAATTTACTTGCCACGAGGATCATTTGTAACATAGGCTTGAGGAATTCTACTTACTAACTTTCTCAGGTTAGAAAAATGGTAGCCCCATAATTAACAATAGGGAGTTGGGACCAGGATCTGCCCTGATTCCTGAGTCACACTCACCTATACACTCACCTAAATTAGCTTATTCTTATCTTTAGGACAGGAATGAATATGCTCTTCTAATTGCTTTTGTTCAAACAAAATCCTTCACGTCTTTTTTTTCTGTATATATCTGCTTAATGACTAATTCTCACCTGGTTTCTGAACTTTTGTTTTAGCCTATTCCTGACCACTTTTCTGAGTTGTACTTGCTACAGCTCAGAAAAGCTCTGAGCTACAGCTCTGGCTGCTTGCATCTTAAGCATCAACTTTTGATAATTATCTTGACTTGACACATTTCCTGTATGATTCCTGCTTTCTATTTTTTAGAGATTTTATTTATTTATTTTTAGAGGTGGGAAAGGAGGGAGAAATAAAAGGAGAGAAGCATCGATGTGTGGTTATTTCTCATGTGCCCCCTACTGGGGACTTGGCCTGCAACCCAGGTATGTGCCCTAGACTGGGAATCAAACCAGTGACCCTTTGATTTACAGGTCAGCACTCAATCCACTGAGCCACACCAGCCAGGACTGATTCCTGCTTTTCATGCAGAACCCCAGCCTTAATTTTCTCCTTCATGGACTATTCTTTTATCCACTTTTGCTCTCTATTCTAATAACTTGCCTGAAATGGCTCAGAAGTAAAATATTGAGCCTATGCCTATAAATACTATTAATCAATACACATCTATTTATATACCAGGCATATAACATAGAACCACATTTTTAAAACCTTAAAAGTTCTATCATGCAGAGTGACTAAAATACAATCTTATTTCTAGAGGGAAACAATCGGCCCCACAAGTAATATACTATATTGAGTAATCATTTTGAGGCTATATTTAAAAACATATCTTAGTAGTATGGTTTGGCCAAGTCATTCTAAAAATAATTCATTATTTGGGTAATTAATTTAAAAGGCACTAGATTTCTTTCTCTCTTCCCTGTTAATAAGCAGTGCATTTCCCTATCAAAAACATTAGGCTAGATAAGAGGAAGATGGTGGAGGAGTGAATGGAAAACACATTGACCTCTTCCCAGAACCAACCTAATATTACTACTAAATTGTGGAGAAATCACCTGGAACAAACAACTGGACAATTGTGGGAGAGAAGCCTTATAACCTTGGGTAGACAAAAGAATCATCATCAGCACTAACTGGTATGAAGTGTAGTAGAGACTGAAGAAGGCTGGCTGGGCACAGACAGGCTGCAGGGCCAGAGGGATAATTAAGCAACCAGTTGGACCTCCGTGAGAAGTGTTGGATCTAAATTCTAAGTTAAGATCCCCAGCCTAGAACACCAGAGCCCCCAAAATACAGATAACAAGCAGTGGTGAAAAGTGGCAGGGTTGTTCTCTGCCAGAGATGGATGGCTGGGGACACAAAGAGCTGTTTAAAGGGCCAACACACAAATTTGCATTGTAGCCACTTACTCTGGGCTCTGAAAAAGGTGGGGGAAGAAGCGACTGGAGATGCCTGAGAAGAGAGACTGGGGATGGAAGCTTTGGGGATAGAACTGAAAGAGTGGATGCTGGCATCCTGGTGCTGAGTCATCCCTCATACAGCAGCAGCCATCATTGCTCAGGGAGACCACTACCCTGAGCAGCAGCAGCCCAAAAGAAAACAATAGCCTCAATCTCAGGAGGGGCACTGCCCTGGCCCTGTTATGCTTATTAAGGCTGACTGCTGAGTGCAGATTGACTACATTAACAATTGAAGGAGACAGCCATAGACACTAGATCCCTTGACATCTCCAACTGGCTGCCAAAGGTCAGACAC